TTTATTTTGATAATATATTTATGTAATTGAAGATTTATTTAATTGAATAATAATTAATATTCATAATGAAATAGAAAATATAAATATGAATATCAAATTTATTATATAAATTTATTATATTGTTTATTTATATTTATTTATAATAATTAATTATTAATTTGTTATGTTATTAAATTTATAAGAACAACATAATTATATATTCTTTATATTAAACAAAATAAAATACATATTATGATATAACTGTTATTAAAATAAAAAATATAAGAACAATTGTTTAATTAAATTAATAAATATTACAAAATATGAAATATGAAAATGAATTATAGAAATAATTTTAGTTGTGATATATTATTTGAAATAATAATAAATTATTAATAAAAATTAAAAGAAATATGAAATAATATAATAACAATAACAATGATATTACAAATTACACAAATAAAAAACATTATGTAATAATTATATAATGATTATAATTGTAATGATTCAAACATACAAGATATAACATCAACTAAAAACTGTGATGACAGAAAATGATGAAGACACTAACAACAATTATAATAACATAATTTCTCAAAATAATGAAAACATAAATAAACAAATAAATATCATTATTTAGATTATTTTGTTTCAAGAATGTTGATTAATGAAAAAAAGAACTAAATAAAAAGCAATTAATAAGTATTAATATAATTTGTGTCTATTGTTCCTGGCTCAGTGGAGACTAATCCATCAATGAGTCTTCTTCTATTAGTTCAACAACATATGTAGCTGTGGTAGAAGAATGTTTAATGGCATTCACATGTTTTTAATTACAGTGTTTTTAACATATTTTATTTGTCAATTTCGATTTTTAATTATTTAATTAATTTAATACTTTCAAGATTTATTATCCCATTTATCGAAATTACTACTGAAATTATTTTGATATATTTTAATTTCTCTATTTTCATTACCCTATTCTTTATTTCTTTATACTCATTTCTTTTCTTCAAATATACTCCATTAATATTATGATATACAACAATAATTATATCAAATATTAGATCAGTTTTATTCTTTTTATTTAATATATATATCTGATATTTTATGATATTATCAATCATTTTTGATTTTACTTATTTGTTCAATATCATATTGATGTATTTGTATTAGAACATTGTTTCATATGTTGATTTTTTATATTTATTATTTCCTGTATATTTTCTTATTATTTAATATGATAATATTTGTATTATCATGTTTCTCATTTTGTGATTTTTTATGACCAATACAAGATAATAGAACGTGTTTTACTATTGTTATCTTGTATTTACAAAGTGGATAGTATTTTATTCATTTTTTAATATTTTATCTTTTCTGTACATATTGAATATTACTCCTTCTTGTATCTTATTTAAATGGAGAACCGAATTCTTTTTAATATTGTTTGACTTCAATGAATTGATTGTAGTAGTTTTATCTATAAATTTTGATTCAATTCATATTCTAAAGTGTCTATTTATTTGATTTCAATTTATTGATGTATTTGTTTGTTATTATTTTATTTATTTTTATTATTATTAATTTTTATTTTCATTCATTTCATTTATTATTTATTCTATTTCTATTTCTTTGATTTTATGTTTTATTATTTTTTATTTATATTCATTATTCATTTCTTTGAATATCATCTATCTAATATATTATTTATTATTTCATTCTTGTATAATAGTACATCACTCTTCTAATTATTTCATTAACATATTCATTATTCATGTTTATTATTCTTTATTTCTTTTATACTGATATATAGATTGTCTTTGGAATTACCAACATTAATATATTTTGTATTTATTATTTATTTTATTATCTCAATTTCCATTTTATTTAAGTTACATTCAATTTTATTACTGTATTGAATATATGAAGATATTAATCAATTCATTATTAATTCTTGTAATATATTTTCTGTTACTACTTTCTTCACTATTTATTTCATTATTCTTATTCATTATCTTTTTTTTGATGATTTATAATTGAATATATTATTAATTTCATCTGATTATCATACATTTAAATATTTATACATTTCATCTATTTCATTTATTGTGATATTTTCATTTCAAGATGATAATTGATTAATATTCTTTATTTCTTGTTTTATTTTCATATTTCTTTATTCTTTTTATTATTTATTTAATTTATTTGTTGACTATTCTTATTTATTCATTATTTGTATCATTATTCTCATTTATTCATTATATAATATATGATTTATATTATTTAACTTATATTCAATGATTTGATAAATTATATTTATTTTGATGATGATAGAGATGATAATGAATCATAATGTAAATTTTATCATTTTAATATATTATTTATATTCATTATATTTATATCATATGATTATATTCATCATATTTTATATATTATTTATATTGATTCATTCTATATTAAATTATTTTAATATTTATATTACTTATTCTTGATTCATTGATTCATATAATTTATTAATATCATAATATGAATCTATATATTTTGTGTATTTCTATTCTTTATGATGATTTAATATATAATTATATTTATTTATTATTTATCATCAAGAAATTATAATTTACATCATAATTGATTTTTATTAATTTTAAATGATTCATTAATCATATTAATTCTATTATGAATATTATCTTTTAATAATAATATAAATATTTTTATAATTATATTTATACAAATGATATAATGATAATTAATAACATCATTCATATCACTTCATTTGTTGATTAATATAATTCTTCATTTTACCATATTTAATTTGATGAATTCATTAAAATTTAACTATTCATTAAATATATTATATATTCTCTTCAATTAATATAAATATATAATGTCAATACCTGGTGATTTCAAATTACTTATCTCATCAAATTTAAATTTAAATCATCCATTACTTTTTGTGTTTCAAATAACAAAAACAATATTTTTCTCCTTTATTAAATCTTTTTTCATTAAACGAATTTTCTGAGAAGTAGAAAAGAGAAAAACTGAAGATCGGAAAATAATGGAATGAAAAAGTCAAAGACAATCAATATCACTGGAGATAAAGAAATTCTTGACATCTTAGGATTTAGACCACCCCATCATATCGATTTAACAGAATTCCAACCAAAAATTCAGATTACACAAGACTTAAATTCTAATATTCTTCACTTACTTGCTGGTGTTAGAACATCAAAAATAGATAAATCTGAAATAAAAAAAGGATGTACAAGTGAAACTCCTTTATTTGCACACTCAGAAAAAGAATTCAAAAACCCTCAAGAAGAAAAAGAAGTTAATGAAAATACTAACCTAATAAGTAAAGAAATTGTTCCATCTGATTATAGCTTAATAGATATTTCTTGTATCCCCAAAGAACCCTCTCAGGCTTTATCTGTATTAAAACCTAATAAGAAGAAAGTTAAAGAGAGAAATGGAACTACTAAGTTAGAGATTGGAATGCACACAGCAATAATGCCTTCTTACCTTAACCATATAACTAATAATAAAAGAACTAAAACAAAACCATTGATGATTGGAGTTCAACAACTTCTAAAGAAACCTCCAACACCAACAAAAAAAAGAATTACTGAAACAACACATATACAAACAATGAATCGACTAGAAAAAAGGAAGTCATTAGAAATCAAACATAACACAAATGAACAAATAAAACGAACTGAACACGTTCTAAAAGAAACACACAAAACAATTGCAGATACTCAATCATTAATAAAAAAAATAGAACGTCAAACCACTGCAACAAACGATATTAAAGAGTTTAAAGAACGGAACGCTGCTAACAGAGCAATTAAATTAAGAGCAGAAAAGGTTATTCGTGAAATTGATCGTAAAAGAAAATCTTTAATAAATAAAACAGAAATAGAAACACGTGCCAAACGAATGACACTACCACAATTACCAAATTATTTAAAACAAGCCATTAAGAAGAAAAAAACAGAGGCTATTAAAAGTAAGTCATTGTAATAGTCATAAATCTTTATATAAACTAGAAAATATTAATAAATTATATTAATACTATATTTTTTCTTCTGCATTTTTTAGGTGAAGAAACTAATAAAACCAAAATGCATTCAATCCCTATTAATCCGATCTTCATCATTAATCAGCAACGCCTTCAATTGTTTGGAACTCCTCTTAAACAACATCATAAAAGAAAAGTTCCAGAAAATGTATATGAGATATCATTATTTCTTGGGATGTTAAGTAAATGGTGTAATATCACAATCGAACGGTTTAATAAAAAGAAAGAAATCATATATGAATGCCCAAAAATCAGTGGAATTGATTTTGGTGATGGGGTCATTGAATTAGAAAATATAGTTAATGAGAAAGTGAAAAACGAAATAAAACCTATTAACACAAATGAAATTGGAACAAAACTTGGCTATGAAAAGATTAAATCTCTAAGAATTCAACACACTATTGAATTATTGGAGGATTTACTCTACGAAAAAGGAATTGAAATTTTAAGAAATAAAAAAGGAATTCGGTGTGTATATAGATATGGGAAAGGATTAATTAAAACAGATGACATACATCAGAAAGAAAGAGCAATCCACTCTGCTCTAGTACATCGATTTCAAATGGGAATTAAACGATTAGATATCAAGCGAGGAGATATTGAACTAGTTCATATTATATACTAATTTTATTTATTATAACTTTTTTTCTTTTAATATTTCTGTCTTTTCACTTTAATAAAACAAAAGAAATAATGATTGTGATTTATTAAAATTTGAATCATTTAAATATAAATCAAGAACGATTACAAATAATCAATTACTTTTAATCAAAATAAAAATAAAATAAGAAAATTGTATTTGTAGGAATAAAAAACAATAAAAAATGTTTGGATTTTTAGATCAAGAACTGAGAACTAATATTAATTATTTAAAGTTCAAGAAATGAGTGAATGGGTAAAAAAAGAATATGGAGATGTTTTCACATTCACTCATAATGAAAAATATCCCGTTCCAACTCTAAACGAATTTATGGAATTCAAGAAGACTCTCGATGATGACGAAGGATGGACTCTTGATCAAGACAAAAACGATACTAAGGTATTATTCAGAGATGTTTGTTAATAACAGAAGAAATATAAAACCAAAAAAACTAATTTATTAAAGGCAGCAAATGAAAGTGTATTACAAATTAAACTTAAATCAATGGCCTTACATGATATTCCTGTTGATGTATTACATGATGTAATTCAAGACCCACAATTTAGAACTGAATGGGATACTTCAATGAAGGAACAACGTCTTGTTGAACAAATTGATGAAAATACAGAAATTGGTTATTACAGTGTAAAAATGCCTTTTACAGTAGCTAACCGTGATTGGGTTAATATGAGATCATGGTGGTTCAATGAAGACAAATCTTTGTATATTATTATGAATCATTCAGTAGAACATGATAAAGTACCTGTTGACAAAAATTTTGTTCGTGCTCAAAGTCTTAAAACTGGCTATATTATTGAAAAAACACCAGAGGGAACTAAACTTAGTTTCTTTAGTTGGAATTCATGGAATGGATGGATTCCTACATGGGTTGTTAATAAAGCGACTAAGAGTATGATTGGTCAAGTTATTGTTGACTTAAAAAAAGCTTGTACCAAATATCCTGAATGGAAAAAAAATCATTGTCCTGAAGAAAAATATTGGATGAGTGAAGGTAAAGTTATTCTCGAATCAAAAAAGAAACAAGAAGAATAAATCATTCGAAAGAGGTTCAATTGACTTTTATTTCTTTTAATTTCTATTTTGTTATAAAGAAAGATATAAACTAATCAATTCTTTTCTTTATAAACATCATACCTATATCATTAACACCTAATTTAATTATTCTTGTATTGATATGATTTTCCATTATTCATTTATCTTTAAAATATTTATCTACTGACTTTAACTATTTACTAAGTGTTTAAAGACTACTTGGTTTATTAAATTTCTATCAATATGAAGTATATATGAAATTATATTGATACATAAAATATAAAATGGTAAAATAAATGGGGTTGGTTGATTTCTCTCATTTTTATTATATTGTGTTTAGACAAAGACTATGATTTGAAGAGGTATTATTCTAAGTGTCACACAAAATAAAAATAGAAGTTATTGTAAAAAGAGGCTTTTAATCTTTATTCTTCTTAACTAAAATCAAAAAGAAGAACTCTAAAACATTAATCTAACAAATAAATGATGAACAACCAATACACTCCCAACCCAAACATAAATGGTAATTTTCAAAGCCAACAACCACTTAACCAGTACTATGGTCAAACCAACCAAATAGCACAACCATATAATCCTGTCATTAATCAAACAGAAATAAAAATACCTCCTACTATATTGTATTCTAATCCTTCTGTTGGATATAACGCATACTCTTTTCATAACCAATCTCAACCAATCCCTTCTCTCCCTCAACAACCATCAGTCCCTCCTAATGAAATTGTATTAGTTCCTCCACATGACAACCCTTCTATTGAAGTTCCTGTCACTCAAGAACAAACACAAACTCCCAAAAATACATGTCAACAAAAACTTATCACGGGATTTATAACCTCTTTATTCCTTTTCTTCTTCTTAATTTTCATTATCACCTTCTTTAGTGTTATGGGAAATATGTTTTTCCTCATGCTCTCAAATTGATTCCTCATTGAATTTGTTTTAATAAACATATTTTTTTATTCCTATGATTTCCTTGCAATATTTTTTTAAACACTTAATAAGATTTAAGGTCAAAACATATATCATTAATTGAATTAATTTATAAAGCCCTTTGCTTTTCCTCTCTAAGCTTTGGACAGAAACAAATTTATTCAGAGGTTTCAAAACAACGTTATGCAATTCATATTTTTATTTAAAATAACAAATAGCTTGACTCATTCTCTGAGAATAAAGACAAACTATTGACAAAGAGAATAACCAACCAATAAAACCACTGTCTTAGTGACATAGAATTACCTTCAAACTTATAAAGCAAAAATAAAAATAAAGATGTCATAAATTAATACCCTAAGAAAACATAATACACTCCTTTATTTGAAAGTTATAAACCAAATAAGGAGAATTATTCGAATTCATATGACTCAAAAACACTAATTATATTCTAATAAAACATTGTTAAGAGTTTCGCAAGGACAGCAAGTGCTAATTTCTGTCTTTTTTCAAAAGAAATACACAAGAAACTGTCAGAAGAATGGTCTGAATACCTTGAAACTAAATTACAACATTTCTACACAAAAGCAAGAATAAGAATAACACAACGAGAAAAGGAAGATTCTTCTAGGTCAATTGCAATTAATAAAAGGAAAAAAAACTATAATGAAGTTATTCAAAAAAATAGTAAAATAGTATTAGTTTCAATTCGATTATTAACAAAGAAAATAATAGTAAAAAAACGGGATAAAAAATAAAGCAATAATTTTGGTTTTTACTTCAACTCTTCTCTCCCTTTTTAAGAGATCTTCGTCTGTTTATTTCATTCATGTTTATTCTTCTTTTATTTATATCAATTTCACTTGGTGATTACAAAGCTGATAAACTCATCGGAGACAAAGAACCAAGAGAGGCTGTTCCACATTGCGCATCAGTTTCAAATGGAGCATGTGCTAGTTGTGATGATGGCTATGAACTTAAAACTGAATCTGGAAGTAATAAGTGTGTCCTTAAAGAAGGTACTTGTAAAAGTTCATTTTCTTACTATGACACCAGTAACTCTGAAACTCCTAAATGTACTTATTGTGAAGATGGAAAAGAAGTTGATGATTCATCTACCTCTAGTACTGATAAATGTACATGTAGAAATAGTGTTAGCACTTGTGATACTTGTCTTTATATGGGACAAGATAATAAATGTGGTGAATGTGTTATAGGAAAATATTCAACCACAGGAGAAAAGTTATGTGACAATGCAATTGCAGATGACCATGCAGAAAATTGTATCGGTCTTTCAGCTAAAGATTCTTCAAACAAGGCATGTGATAAATGTTTTGGAAGTTATACCCTTCAAAATAATATGTGTTCTAATCAACTCACTAAAATTGATAAGTGTATTTTACAAGTAGAAAATTCTTGTAATCAATGTGCAGATGGATATTATATTAATGCTGAGAAAAAATGTACCAAATATCCAGACCATTGTTCTAAAGTAAATGGTGAGAAATGTGCTTCATGTATGGAAGGTTATTATTTAACTGGTACAGAGTGCGAAGTATGTACAATTGATAATCTAGACGATCTTTCAAAAGGTGATGAATGTAGTATTTATAGTGCTAAACACTGTACATCATGTAATAAAAGATGTACTGTTTCTGGTGAAGTTTGTGTTAAGAATCATTGTCGTTTGTTCTCTTTGACTGATAGTAGTAAATGTGCAAAATGTGATAGTGGATATTTCCTTACTAGCTCTGGAACTTGTTCACCAAATTTCTATGATGGTTTCAAAACATCAGCTAAAGAAGAATGTTTACCTGGTTATTATTTAGAAAAAGATGGAGAAAATAAGAGATGTACACTTTGTCCAGATCCATTTACTGAATGTCTTACTTCTAAAACACCTGTTCCAGGTAAATTAAATCTTAGAAGTTCTCATTTAACATCAAATGCGGGTCCATGCAAACTTCCAGGATGTTTGTCATGTAGTGATGATGATACTATTTGTTATAAATGCGATGAAGGACTTACTTTAAGAGGAACCCATTGTTACAACCTAGACTCTGTTAATGTACTTGGTACTAGTGGTGAAGAGCATAGAGTGTGTAAAATGAGAGGGTACAATCAATTTGAACAATATTTGAATGCATTTAAAGCATCAGATGATACTTATTATTGCCCACTTACAGATCTTTTCTTACCATATTATTTCAGTGTTACTAAAGATAGTTCAAATGCAATTACTATTGGTTGTGTTGGTCAATTAAGAAATGTTTCAAATGATTGTGAATGTAATGATAAACACGTTCCAACATCTATAGATAAATCATCAGATTGTGTTTCAATAGTAACTAAACTTCCATCATGTGAAAGAGCAGCAAATGAAAATATTTGTACACAATGTCCAGTTGGATCACATGTAGGAAGTGATGGTAAATGTTCTTGTGGTGATGGTCATTATTTCGATGAAAATAATGTATGCCAGAAATGTCCAGATAGTTGTTCAAGTTGTTCTTATGATTCAAATAAAAAGGCTGTTGTATGTACTGCATGTTATGAAAATATTCAAGGAGTTACTACAAGGGATAAAAACAGTCAATGTGCTTGCCTTGATGAACGCTATAAAGAAGGACCAAATGAAGAAGATAAGAAGAAAAGTTGTGCAGAGTTAAATGAAAACTGTAATCAAGAAGGTAAGTATGAGATTAGTAATGGATATGTTAAATGTCTTGAATGTAATGATCCTGCATATATAGTTGGTTCTGAAATTAATGCTTGTAGTCAATGTTCTTCTAGTGCTTTTAAAGATAGTAATAATAAATGTCAGTTATGTTCTACTAAACAAGATAAGTTTGGACATTGTTCATCTTGTTCAGCAACAGCATGTATTACATGTGAAGATAATAATTTAATTCTTGCTGCTAGTGACTCAAATGTACAATGTACTGAGTGTAAAGATGGATTTTATAAAATTGAAAACCCAACGGATGGAGTGTATTGTAGTCCATGTCCTGCAAAATGTAAAACATGTAAATATGATAGTACTAAACAGGAGGTTGAGTGTTTGACATGTACTGATACAACTTCTCAAGACATTAAAGCACCAGAATGTGCTTGTCCAACAGGAACAGTTCAACTTGAAAATGGAAGATGTAAGAGTTGTTCAGAACTTTCAAAATATGAAGGATGTAAAACTACTGATACATGTAATGTTGATGCTAAAACAGGATATATTTATGCAACAGAATGTTCAGAAGATTTTAATGGACGTAGTCCTTATAGCAATTGTACTGCATGTACTTTGTCTAACTATTATCCAAAAAAAGGAGAAAAGGGAGAGGATGGAAATAATAATGGATGTGCCAAATGTGGTAGTGAATGTGCAACTTGTTCAGACGAACATGTTTGTTTAACATGTGCTAAACCATTAATGGTAGGAAGTAAGTGTGATAGATGTAAGACAGGATATTATATGTCTAATGGAGAATGTAAACCATGTACTAATCATTGTAGTGAATGTACTAGTGCTACAGAATGTACAGTGTGTGAGAGCGATACATATAAGGTAATTAGTGGAAAAGGATGTAATTCATGTGCAGATGGATTCTATTTTGATGAAATTAAAGGAGCATGTATACTATGTACATCACCATGCACTAAATGTATTGGAGTAATGAAGTACTGTGAAGAAGGAGAAAGTGGATGTAATTCAGAGAAGAAGAAAGTAGTAGAACATTGTACAAAATGTTCAACAAAAGATCATATTTCAGAATTCCCAGTGAACGGGGCATGTACATGTGCATATGGATATATTCAAAATAATTCAACAAAAGATAATACAATAGAATGTGAATCATGTAAAGCCAAAGTTAATGAATTCTGTGATTCATGTAATTCAAATGAATGTTTGAAATGCAATGCAGAATATTTAGAATTGAAAGGAGGAGAATGTGTTTGTGTAGAAGGATATTACACAACAAGTTGGGGATCATGTATTCCATGTTCAAGACATATGGCACATTGTACTAAATGTTCAGGAGAAGGAAAATGCACATCATGTGAAGAAGGATGGAAATTAGAAGAAGGAAATTGTAATGGAAGTAAAGGAATTTTCATTATGATGGTGATAGTCATGTTATCATTTATGTTCTAAATGAATATAATGATCCATAATTAAATAAGATAAGAAATAATTTTAAAGGTTTAGAAGAAAAAGATTTAAGTAAATTTTAAAGAAAGAAATAATGAGAAAATAAATTAACAAAAATGAGAGAAAATAAACAGTATTTTTTATTTTGTTAGTTATTCTGTGTAAGTTGAGTTTCTTTTTATTTGTTAGATTTTGAGTTAATTAATCAAAAGTGTAAATTTTTAACAATCTTTACTTCAAAAAGTACTAACAATTGACAGAAGAAATCATAAAATTCCTAACATTAAAAAATTATAAAAAAATGAACACAAAAAAGTTAAAAACAAAAAGGTAATTCTTCAAAATAATATTTTAAAGAAAATAATAATAAACTTAATGTAAAATAAGAAAAAAAAAACGAGAAAAGAAAGAAGAAAACATGAATGAAGAGGAGTATGTAGTAGGGATAGATTTAGGGACAACGAAATCAAGTATAGCACGATATGATGAGCACCACCAAAGGGTTGAAGTGATAAAAAACAAAGAAGGGAAAGAAAGGATAGAGTCTATAGTAAGATTTACAAAAGAAGGAAGAATAATAGGGGAAGAAGCGAGAAGAAGTTCACAAGGGGTGATAATATATGAAACGAAGAGATTTATAGGAAAGAAATATGATTCAGAAATTGAGAAAGAAGGAAAGAAATTAACATATAAAATTCGAAGAAATGAAAAGAATGGAGAAGTCGAAATAGGAGTGAATGAAGAAGAATGGTATTCAGCAGAAGAAATAGGGAATATGATAATAAGAAAATTAATAGAAGAAGCGAAAGAAGAATATAAAATAGCACCAAAGAAAGCAGTGATAGCAGTACCAGCACATTTTAAAGATGAAGAAAGAAAAGCAACGATATATGCAGGAGAAATAGCCGGATTAGAAATTATAGGAATAATAAATGAACCAACAGCAGCAGCAATTGCATATGGATATGATAAAAAATATGAAGAAGGGAAAACAATACTTGTATTTGATATTGGAGGAGGAACATTTGATATAACATTAATTAGAACAAATAAAAGAAATCAAAGAGTAATAGCAACAGAAGGAGAAACACATTTAGGAGGAAAAGATATTGATAGAAAAGTAGGAGAAATTGTAATGAAAAAATGGAAAGAAATAGATAAAGAAAAAGCAGAAGAAAGTTATAAAAGAAATAAATATAAAATTGAAATGATAAGTGAAGAAATTAAAATAATTTTAAGTACAAATCAAAGATGTAATGTAGATTTAAGTGAATTTTATGAAGAAGATAATGAAGAAGATATTCCAAATATTGAAATTACTAGAAAAGAAATTGAAGAAGCAAGTAAAGATATTTTTGAAAAATGTATTAAATGTATTGAACGTATGTTTCAAGATATAGAATTAAAAAATAAAGGAATAACAAAAGAAAGTGTTGAAGAAGTTATTCTTGTAGGTGGAACAAGTAAAATCCCTAAAATTCGAGAAATGGTTAGTGAATACTTTGATCTTATTCCAAATAGAGAAATTGATCCAGATCAAACAGTTGCAAGAGGTGCTGCATTAGTTGGATTCGATCTTTTTAAAGAAGGATTAATTAAAAAAAATAAATTTAATAAAGATCATTTTAATGAAGATTTAATACATAATTTCATCCAAACAAAAGAAGATTTAATTAAACCAAAAGAAGATTTAATTAAACCAAAAGAAGATTTAATTAAACCAAAAGAAGAATTAACAGAAGATATAATAAAAAAAGGAAAAAAAGATATTGAAGAAGAAGAAGAAGAAGATATTATTAAAAGAAAAAAAGAAGAATTAAATATTCCAACATATATTGATATTACATCACATTCAATTCAACTAAAAACAAAACAAGGATTTAGTACATTAATTAAAAGATTTACAAGACTACCAACTAAACATATTCAAGAATTTAAAACATCAACAGAATATTCAACAACAGCATGTTTTCCTATTTTTGAAGGAGAAGGAAATAAAGAAGAAGAATTAAGTTATTTAGAAACATTCACAATAACTGGACTTCCAGAACTTCCAGCAGGAGCAGTTCGATTTGAAGTTGAATGTGAAATCACATTAGATGGAACAATTCATATCATTGCACGAACTATAGAACCAGAAAATTTACTCCTTAAAGAAGAAATTAAAGTAACTAACAAAAATCAAAAAGAAAAACAACAAAACCTTGAATCATTAATTCAACGATCTAATTTATTAGACATTCAAGACATCGAATTCAAAAAAATTAAATCTTTACTCGCAGAAAAAAACCGTCTTCTTCATCAATTAAAAAAACTCGGTAAATTTAATGAAATCTTTCTCTTGAACTCTTGGTTCTCTTCAAATCCAAACGCCTCTTCTCTTCAAATTAAATCTTTTCTCGATAATTTCATTCTTTCTTTCCCTTTCTTAAAATGAAGTAAAAACCTATTTATTTTATGCTTTTGTTAGGTTATTGTTTTTGCTCTCAATTAGAACTCTTGTTGAAAGAAAGAGTTCTTTCTAAGTGTTATTTTTTCATTATTATTTGTGGTGTTAAAAAGTGGTTGTGAGTTTTTTATTTTGGTACTTCTTTTTGTTGAGTTAGAATTTATTTATGAATGAATTTATTGTATTAAATTTTAAGTATTTTGATCAAATAATTTTCGTTATTAAGTAATTAATCTAAGAATTGAATATATTTTCATTAATTTTTAAAATTTAAAAAACTTTAAATTTATTTTAGTTAAAAAAATAAGAGTTATGATAAAATAATAATTTAAATTTTCTTTAAATTCTATTTTATTTTTTCTCTTCTTCTTTCTCTTCCTTTACTTCTTCCTTCTTATCTCCAGCGTGTTTAGCGTCATACTCTTCTTTCTCTTTTCTTTGCCACTCATTCATTCTTAACCATGGTCTATCTTCTGGTTTATTCTTACTCTTCCATTCTTCATATGCAGCAGATTGTTTCATTAAACTATCAATAACACCTCCAACCATAGTTTTAGTTGCTTTATTAACGCACCATGCTGGAATCCATCCATTCCATGAATTCCATCCAAAGTAATAGAACATAGTTCCTTTTTCAGTTGTTTTCATATAATAGCCTGATTTATAAGACCAAGCTCTAACAAATCCTGATTTTTCTGGGACTAATGGGTGTTTATGAGAAAAATTGAAAATGATGAACTCTGTCATTTCTGGGTTATGCCACCAACTCCTTCTATTAACCCAATCTCTGTTGGAAATAATGAATGGCATAGCAACAGAATAATATCCAATATCATTGCATTCATCAATTTGTTCAATTAAAAATCCTTCAATCATACGATCATCCCATGTTTTTCTATAGTCAGGGTCATGAATGCACTCATAAATAACTTGAGCAGGAATATCTTTCATAGCATCAGAAACTAATTTAACTTGAATCTCTGCTGTATTTTCTGGATTTTTAAAATGAACTTGAGTGTGTTCATCTTTATATGATTCAATCCATCCTTCAGTTTGGTCAAAGAATCCTTTGAATTCTTCAAAGTCTGCTTTTGTAGAAATTGGTAAATCTGGGTTATGAGTTAATACATTAAGGTCTCCTGGTAATGACATAAGTAATTAATATTTCTCAGTTCTATAATAATCACTTTCTTTTCATTCCATTTTAATCACAGAACTTTTTATTCATTCTATTTTTAGTTTTTTAGATTTTTATATTTTAAATAGCACTTTTATTGTTTAATTTTTTTTTTAATTTCTTGTAAAAATACTCTACCAAATTTAGTTAGTTTCTTTACTTATTTTGTTAATGCCCTGTATTGTGTCTCACATTAAGAAACAAAACACTTTTTTTCGGAATCTTCTTTTTTATTTTTCTATAACTTGTGTGATAATTTGTTATAAAATTGTTTAAATAAACAGTATGATAAATTTTTACTAAAATCTTTTTGTATAATTGAAATATAAAAATTAGTAATAAAGTAAGTGCAATAGTTCAATTTCTAAGGCACTAATACCTTTATTTTTTTAATAAACACAGCTAACTTTTTTATATGAATGGAAATAAACTTCTTGCTATTATAATATGTCATATTACCTACCAATTAAAATTTTATTTTCTTATTTTTATTTTTACAATACACTTTTCAAAAGTTATTTTTTAATTAATATTATTAACATTGTTTTGTTAATTGTTTTTCTTGTTGAATCAATATAACGATAGTGTTATTTACTGACTAGGTCCTGTTAAAATTTAAAGTAGGTTTAATTGACTCTTTATGGATTTAATTAACTTTTTTTATTAAGTACTTAATTTATATTTTCTTTAATTATGTTAATTTTATAAAAAAGTTACAAAATTAATAAAACATAACATAAATAAAGGAAACAAAGAAAAATAATCTAAATAATGATATTTATTTGTTTATTTATGTTTTCATTATTTTGAGAAATTATGTATTATAATTATTGTTAGTGTCTTCATCATTTTCTGTCATCATAGTTTTTAGTTGATGTTATATCTTGTATGTTTGAATCATTACAATTATAATCATTATATAATTATTACATAATGTTTTTTATTTGTGTAATTTGTAATATCATTGTTATTGTTATTATATTATTTCATATTTCTTTTAATTTTTATTAATAATTTATTATTATTTCAAATAATATATCACAACTAAAATTATTTCTATAATTCATTTTCATATTTCTTATTTTGTAATATTTATTAATTTAATTAAACAATTGTTCTTATATTTTTTTATTTTAATAACATTTATATCATAATATGTATTTTATTTTGTTTAATATAAAGAATATATAATTATGTTGTTGTTATAAATTTAATAATATAACAAATTAATAATTAATTATTATAAATAAATATAAATAAACAATATAATAAATTTATATAATAAATTTGATATTCATTTTATATTTTCTAATTCATTGTGAATATTAATTATTATTAAATTAAATAAATCTTCAATACATAAATATATTATCAAAATAAAACATCATTTTGAAATTTGATAATAATAAATCTATAATATAAATGATATAATATTTATACATATTTACAATAATTTATATTTTCATTATATATTATATCAAATTTTCTTTATTTAATTATTAATTTATTTTCTTGTATTATTAATAATTGAATATATTCATTCAATTTAAAATTTAATGATTTCAAAAAATTTAAATTATTACCATTACATTCATTCTTTTATCTAATTGCAAAATCCGATGATTTGTTATTCATCAATTTATTATGATAACATTCTTTTGTTTTCGTTTATCATTTCTTTTATACTCTTCTTTTTATTATTTCTTTATTCTCAATTATATTTCTTTCTAATTGATATGTATTTTATTTTATTTGAAATTCTGTTATTTATTGTTTATGATTTATTTTCAAATATTCATCAGCAACAATACATATTTCTTTTCTTATTTTCTTTTTTTATCTTCTATTTCTAATTTTTAGTATTAATTAAATATTATTATTAATTCTTTCTTATGTTTTCATTTTATTATTCGTTATGTGTATTTAGTTTTTGTATATTTAATATTATTTAATAGGTATTTTATTTTATTTATTTTTGATATTTTTATCATTAAATGATCTTTCTTCTATGATATTTTATTCTATTATTTGTTTGATTGTTAAAATCATCTTTTGTTATATTATTTTGTCATTTAATTTCTTCAAAAGGTGAATCAAGTTGAATAATTGACAACATATATTTCAAGATAATTACTTTTTATATTATAATTTTTATCCTTTTTTCTTTTTGATGGCTTTGATATCAAAAGATTTTATTGTAAATAGTATTTGTTAAAGATTATCTTAAATACTCTGTTTTATTCCATTAAGAATAAATTTAATAAGAGAATCATCAAAATTGTTTCTACCAAGATTAAGATCACTTTCATTTTGAATACATTCTATTTTTAAATTTTTTTTATCATCATAAGTTTATTCTTAAATTCTTCAGGTTTATTGTTACTCTCTTTTTTAATTCTATATTTATTTTAGACAAAATAAACATGAATTGTTTCACTTGAGAGACTCTTTTAAAGTATTCTAGCACTATATTATTAAAAATTTCAGAAACTCTTTTCTTATATTATCCTTTTAAAAGAGTTAGATTGTTCTGGTTGACCAAATGATTATAATATCTTTTGACCTATTGTATTTGAGTGTTTTATTTTCTCAAAAAATTATATACTTTCCTGCTTCATAATCTTTTTTTCTTCTTCTTGGAAAGTACAACAAGTAACATCTAATGTTCCTCCTTCATAACCAACAACAACAATTTTTAACTTATCTCTCATACTATGTTCTCTGCAATATCCTATGATTGACACTGATGATTCTTGTAATAAAGAGGTATCTTCAAATCTGCCATTATATGTGCTTGAATTATTTCTTTCTTTTGTTTTAGTATAAAAGAAGCAGGGTGGCAACAACTACTTTTCCTATTTTTATTTACTAATTTTGCCTGAGTGTATTAGTAATGTTCTAAGAACCATTGCCGATGCTTCATTGGATAAATAAAATTATGATATTGATGAATCAAGAGGGTCTTCAACAAATTTTTATTTTATTATTCTATATTGAAAATACATTAACGTAAATGACGGCAGCAAGTCTTTTTGTTCATTATATGTTTAACTGTTTCTCATATTAATCTTTTAGAATCATGAAGATAAATACTATTATTAATCTTTGAAAGCATTCCTTTTTGATAACTTTTGTTCAATCAGTTATTTTCAATATCTGAACTCATGACGGTATTGAAAATCCTAATAATTCTATTGGATTGTTTTTGTTTTCTGACAAAAAAGGCAATATACAAATATCTTATTCATAATTCTATTTATACAAAAGTAGGTATTTCATTTAATCTTGATTTCCTCATATTATTTTAATAAAGATAAAATTCTTTAACAAAACAATAAACATTAAAGACTTACAATAGAAATTTTTATGAACCATTTAAATTAATTATAATAAACTATTTTTATTATTCCTTTTTTTAAGAATGATGCTTTTTATTTATTTATTATTTCTATTTTATTAAGATTTGATAATAACAAAAATACAATTCCATAACAACCACCATTCCTTATTACTACATTTAAATTTTTTTTATTATGTCAATTACAAGTTTTAATTTATTTATCAGTTAATACTTTCTATATTAACTCATTAAATAAGATTAGCACTAAGACTATTTTCACATCTTTAATTTATTTCTTTCATTACCTTTGTTTTTAACTATATACATCGCAATACTCAACGTATTTATTCATCATTAACTTTATAATTATTATCATATTAAATAATATATAATTTTATTTTTCCTATTATTACATACAATTTAATGCTATTCTTTTCCAAATAATATAGTGTAAATCATAATTATTAGTGTGTTTCATTTTGTTGGTCTTTCTTCTTTATTTAATTTTGTTATTAGAATCAAACATGATTTTATTTGTATTGATTCTGACAATTTCATTCTTATTAAATTTAATTCTTTCTTTTATCATTGTCATCATATATTTTAGGTACTTTATTCTTTCTTGTGCTTTCATTTTAATTTCATCTGCATCTTGTTCATTTAATCTCATGATGCATTTTATTCTGTACCATCTCCTTCCCTTGATTAGATATTCTAATCTATTTATTTTCTTTATGATTTCTTTTACTTCATCAAATTTATCTCATTTAAATTTATTTTTGAGATAATAATACATACACATTGAAATCCTTTTCATATCTTCTTGCAGATCTTCTATTCTGCTTCCTGACCATACCCATTTATTATTTATTTCTCTTATTAAGTTTTCAGAAAAAAAAAAAAGAAATAACACTAATTATTTGAAAATGTTATAATTTGTTGTTTTTGTTAAAAAAAAGAAAAGAAAAGAAAAAAAGAAAAGAAAAAAAGAAAAAGAAAAGAAAAAAAGGAATGGAAATAGAAATAGAAGAAACAACACAAGAAGAAATAGGATTATTCATTAATTCACATCCTATTAATAATCCACTTCTTTTTTATTTGAATTCTTCTTCTACGGTTATTCCTGTTTGTGTAAATAATTAAATAAAGATAAAAAATTAAAACAATAGCAAATAGAATATAATCGATGGCTTCAATTAATATATCAAATATTAATTTCAATTGATGAATCATATTCTTTGTTATTTGTTTTACTTATTCCTCGTGTTAATTTACTTCCTCGTTATAATAATGTTGGTGTAGGTGGAACATTTGATCGTCTTCATTGTGGTCATTACACTCTCATCCAAACTGCTGTGTTCACTTCATCATCACATCTTGCTATTGCAATCACTGGTGATTCATTACTTCATTCAAAACAAAATTATGATCTGATTCATTCATTCACCACACGTAAAAATCAAATCATTCATTTACTTCATACAATCAACAAATATTATCCTATTCCTTCATACACAATATCACAAATTAATCAACCTGAAGGAACATCAACTACTGATCCTACTCTTGAATGTTTAATTGTTAGTGATGAAACACAAAAATCACTTCCTATCATCAACAATCAACGAATTCTCAATGGATATCTTCCTTTACATTCAATCACAATTAATCTTATTCTCACTACTGATGGTTCTAAATTCTCTTCTTCTACTCTTCGTTCTAGAGAAAGGTCAATGAACAAAGACCAATAAATCACAAATAAATTAATTGAAATTGCGTTCAACTTAGTTGGTTAGGTAAAGTACATACTGCTTTTGATAATTTATTCTATTAAATTGAGTTATTACTAATAAATGATTCGAAATTCTCATCATCTTTCCATTCCAACTTTTCCACAGTAGAAATGATAGGTACTGATACATATTTATTTGGTGGGGTATATGGAAGTTCGTGATGGTTCATTCTAGGAGTTGCATCAATATAGTCAGAATTTGATGGGTTTTGAGCAACAAATTTAAGGTCAGCTTCTCTGGGCTCATCAATGTCATACGTTTTAGTTTTTTGATGAACAATTTTCCATTTCCAGGTTCCATTATTTGGTTTTTCTTCTTCATCCCAAGGGTCAGTTTCTTCAATTAATTTCCAATAACCATTCACTCCATAAATTGGAAATCCTGTTTGGAAAGATGATGAGTGACTTAAAGCATCAATCATAGCTTTCTTCCAAATTTGACTTTTTCTTTTAACTATAAAATGAATGTGAACAAATAGTATTTTAAAAGAAATTACAAAAAACAAACAATGTTTTAATTCACCAAAAACTTTAATGTGGTTTGTAATAAAATGATATATATCAGTTGTCAGGCTAAAGTATTCTTTCATAGGAAACATTTTCTTAAGTGAATAAAATATTACTTTGAGAATAGTGTTCCAAGTTGGTTTTTTCTCAAATTTGAGGAATCCCCGTTGGCAGAGCAAACAATGACACTCTTCAAAGTTTTGTGAAACTACATTACAAGTCTGAATTTTAAGTGGTAGTTTGAGAGACATCTCTCTGAATATGAAATAAGTTTTATTTCTAATACTCTTTTTATATAATAAAAATAATCTGGCTTTTCATCTCTCTGAGAATGTTTGATTTTTAAACAAGGAAATGCACTGTTCTTAATAAGGTGACCTTTGAGCCTATTTTGATTAATTTTATCGGTGATTCAATCCGTTTATAGAATATTTAACTTTTTATTATTTATTTTTACTTCTTCACTTTTTGTGTCTTTTTATTGATGACATCATAACATAATAAGAAATATATTTAAATCTTTTCTTTTGTGATTTGCTCACTTTTCGTTTGTTATGTTAAGTCTTTAAGTAATAAAATATTTATATTTCTTTTTAATATATGTTTTCTTTTAAAAAGAATCTTATTTCAAAAAAAATATTCATAAGAATATTATTGTAAAAAGTATGTTAATTTGATAAAAAAACAAATATATATGTGTTCAACAATTATCACTCTTTGCATCTTGTTTTGAGTCTGTAGAATCACGAGTTTCATTCGTCTCTTCTTCAAAAGATTCTACAGATATTTGAGAATCTGAGTTTGTGTTATTATTACTTTCTCTATCATCTTCACTTGTAGTAACTTCATTAGCAATACTCATATTTTCTTCTACTAAATGATGGAATGATATTCCATTAAATTTATTAAATTTTTCACAATGATCTCCTTTCGTTCTTGATAATATGTTTGACCCTTTAGTTTCAGTAAAGTCATTTGAAAGTGTGCTATTATTCATTTGACTGTCTACTTCAAAATATCCTGTATCTGTTTCATTATCTAATTCAGGTACAAAAATATCTTCACGACTTTCACTTAATAAAGTGTTCCAATTAATACCTTCAAACCAAGGGTGTGATTTGATTTCTTGGATTGATTTATAACCTAATCGTTTTTTTACTTCAATAGTTAATAATCCAGACACAATACTTTTTAATTCATTCGATGGATTAATAGAAGATGGCCATGAATATTTTCCTGTTCTAATGTTTTGGAAAATGGCATCTGGTGTTTCTTCATGAAATGGAGGAACTCCACAAATAAATTCAAAGATCATTGAGCCTAAACTAAAATAGTCTGAACAACGAGAATATTGAAATGAGACAATTGACTCAGGAGCTACATAATCAGGGGTACATACCAATCTCGAATCTTCAATTGTTTGTTCAATTTTCGAGCCAACAGTAGATAATCCAAAATCAGTTAATAACAAATGTCCATTTTTATCAATAAGAACATTATCTGGTTTAAGATCTCTATGAATGCATCCCAATGAATGAATATATTCTAATGCTAATACAATTTCTGCTGAATATATTTTTGCTGTAGTTTCATCTAAATAGCCAACATTACTTAATAAACATCTAAGATCTCCACCTGGACAATATTCCATTACAAGGAATAAATTATGTGTATCTTGAAACGCATAATACATTTTTACAACAGAAGATGTTTGTGCTCTTTGTAGAATTGTTTTTTCAGCCAAAACACCATCTACAACATTTTTTCTAATCATATCAGCTTTTTTCATAATTTTCATAGCATAAATATCATTAGTAACTTTCTTTCTCACAAGGTATACGCTAGAATATGCTCCTCCATTAATTCTTTTAATAATTTCAAAATCTTTTAATCCAATGTTATTCCATGTCTCATCTAATCGAACTCCAGCACCTAAGGCATTAAGTAATTGTCGTGGATTATTTGGATTTTCTATGTATTTTCCTAAAATATCAGTTTTGTGATGTATTAATTTTTGAACATAGAAAGCAAAAACATATCCACATACATCATGTTGATATGACCCTACTAAGTCGACACTAACTTCATTATAAACTTTTAAATTATCATATTGTTTTTGTAATGATTCTCCCATAATTCTAATTGCTGCTTCAGAAACTTCAATTAATCTTTTGAAATAATCTGTTTTCTTTAATTCTGAAATTCGTTTTGCTTCTTCTACAATACCTTTTAATCGTTCAGCATCTGTAGTTGATTTCATACAAATTTCATTTAATGTTTTACAATAATATGTATGTCGAGCAAGATGTTCTGCTAATACTTTTGCCTCACAAATTCTACAAATAACTCCTGAACGTGGAGTTACAGTTGTACTTGATTCGTTTGAACTTATTGAACTAATATCAAGAGATGAAACACTTTGTTTTCTAGATTGACTACGTGATGATTGATGTGAATGACTTTTCGAACGTGTTTCTATTCGTTTAATTTCATTTGAAGAGAGTAAACGAAGAAGTTTTAATAATTGGACATCTTCAGGATGATTTAATGAAATTTCTTTAATTTGACTAATAATTTGGTTCAATTCTATTGCATCTAATAAATCTATAGATTCTAATCTCTTACATAAATGAATTAATGAAGTATCTTCTTTATGTGTTTGAACAATTTTCATACATTCAGTAACAATTTCATTATTAGTACTTTGAATTGTAAGAAGTTCTTGTAAAGAAATTATTGGTGTAACAGGTTTATGAGAAGTTTCTTCACTGTAAACACTTTGTCTTCTATCTCTCCTTCTTTGAATAATAACAGTACTACTTTGTAAAGCAACTATCCATTCACCTAATAATTCTCTAGACTTAGTTTTAAAATGATAAACAGCACCAGAAGATAATTTAATATGAAAAGTTTTTTCTTTCATATCAGAAACTTTTACATTAGCACCTTTTAAATCTAAGATTGTAGGTAATGTTAATTTAGAAAATTCTTTATCACTAACAAAATAAATCAAATAATTTCTTTTCACTAAAACATATCTTGTTACCCAACGTTTTAAGATATATCCCTCTTTTTTTAAATCACCTGAAATTATTGGTCTTCTTATAGAAATAATTGAATTTGACAATGAGGTAGAAATCCATTGTTTAAAATATTCAGAATCACAAACTCCAGAAATATTAATTATTGCTTGAAGATATTCACATAAAGCAGTATCTCTCATTGGATAAGAAATACTTCTTTTAGGAAAAAGGGGAAATCCATTTACTGGATAACTTGATTTAAAAAAAGCGTCAAGTTCATAGAGGTCATTAGCTGTTTTTTCAATAGTATGAATTCTTGAATTACAAGTAAAAGAAATTATATGAACAATAATTGGTATGGTATTAATTGTGTCTATCATTATTTCACTTTTAACACTAGAAATTAAAATATTAGTATAATTAATTTCTCTTTCTTTAGTTAATGTATTAACAATTACATCTTCAGTATTATAATCAATTGGTTGAGTTATACTTGATGGAGAAAAACAACTCTGTCGATTCTTTCTAAAATTGGTATGAATTGTTAATACAGGAACATGTGTTTCGTTCATCAACCCTTTAAGTGTTCTCTCTAAGTTTTTTTCAAACAGACAAACTAAAAATTTTCAATGTAAAAATACTTTTTTTTGGTTAATTTCTCTTCATAAAAAAATAAAAATAATACTTTTTTATTATTTTTTTTTCTTTTTTTTTAATCAATCAAATTAAAATAGATCAAATCATTTCTCAATTAAAATAAAACGTAGATAATTACTTGTTAATAGATTTATTTTCTATAGCTCATTGCTCAGGGGAGATTACTAACCCTGTACCTTTACTTTAAGACTCTTTGTTCAACAAATATTAGCTTATTCTTTAGCTTTTAATTGTTGAAAAGTGAGAAATTCTTTTCCTCTTTTATTTATTGTAGAATAAAGTATTTCATATCCCTGACTTGAATATTCATCATTTAAATTTCTATCTGCTTTTAATTGGTATTAAATTCCTCTTCTTTACTTTCTGATTTTAAGAAGAATATTTGTTATCACTAAACTACTATGAATAATTTTCTTTTTAGATCAACCACACCAACAAAACTACTTTTCTTTGATAATACCTATATTATCAAATACACTTTATTCTAATAAGTAAATAATACTATCATCTTTATAATTATCAACTCTTTTATTATAAATAATATCCTATCAATATAAATAATAATCACTAATATTCTTGCAATATTGGGTCAGATGTTTTTCTAATCAAATACAATGTCATAACCATATTGTAACTGGTAGATTCAAGGCATAGATTTATTTTAGGATTCTGTTTAGTATCTCTGATGTGATACGTTCTAATCCCATTTACAATTATAAAATAAGTATTAAAAATTATAATAAAATTAAAAATAAAAAAGATATTTCTATAAAAAAATCAAATTAGTTTAAATTACATCAACAAGTTGCTTTACAACTATTTCCACACCAATTACATTGGTTATCTTCACATGAAATCTTATCTCTTCCATCACATACTTTCATTGTTATAACGCCACACCGTAAACGAACATATGAAGCACATTCTAAAAACATTTCTACTTTTGTGGTTGGGAAGAAATCAGTTACTGTACCATAAAGATAAGGAACTGTTTCTACATCTGTTCTAACTGACCCAATTTTAATTCCAGTAGGAAGTTTTTGACTAGATTTAACTTCATATTTCATACAATTCCATGGAATAGGAGAGAAGATTTGACGTTGAATTGGAGTATTTAATTGAAGTTGTAATTCGAAATTTGTAGTTGAAGGAGAATTGATAAAACAATCATAACCAGGTTGAGTAATAAATAAAGAATAAGAAACAATAACAACAGCTACTAAATAAACTATTAAAACCGAACATATCACTTTAAAATCTAATTGATACATTCCTTTCATAATAATTAATAATCCTCCAATCAAAACAAATAATGAAACATAAACAACCATTACAATCAATACAATGGTTCCCATAATCATACTAACTGTAATTCCTATAGCTGCTAATAATAAAAATAAATATATAGATATAAAATTGTTATGTTTAAAATAAAGTATTAATGGCCCTCCATTCCACATTACTTTTAATTCATTACGAGTATTCCATAATGATAAATATGATAATATTGTTGTAAACCAACAATATCCCCACATAAATGGGAATTCTGGTAATGAAAAAATGACAAAGATACTAAAGATAGTTAAAAAAATAGATGCAAATAAAGTGACAATAGCTGGTCCAAATGAAAAATTAAAGAATAACATCTTATCTATTTTATTTTTTCTTGTTTTCTTTTCTTCATCATTTTTTTCTTGAATTTCTTTTTTAAATTCCTCAACCATTTTTATCATTTGATGAGTACTTTGTGATAGTTCTTTATATCTTTCATTTGAAGACAGTTGTTCTGATGATGCGTTTTCATAAATTTGTTTTAATGCTTCTACTAAATGTGGAATTACTCCAATAACATCTACTGCAAGTTCTCCTTTTTCATCTTCTATAACTAATTCAGGACAAACTTTTTTAACTTCTTGTGCAATAAACCCAAGTTTTTCTTCTTTTTTTCCAATATAATTAAATGATGTTCCTGTTAGTTGAAGTACAGTATTTAATGAGTCAACTAATGGTTTAATATTTTCTTTTACACGAATATCAGATCGTTGTAAAAATCCATTTTCTGCCATAATTTCTCCCATAACATGAAGTCTTTTTAAATTTTCATTAATTCTTTCAATACGAATAAAATCTTCATTTTTTTCTATTACCCCATTCATTTGTGTTGGTGTTAATGGAGTAGAAGGTGATTGAAGATAATCCCATGGAATTTCATTTTGAGGTTGCTGAGGTGAAGCAAATAAATCATTTTGAGAATTAAATCCATTTGAATTTTCACTTTCTTGTTTAAAATCAATAAACCCATTTGTATATAATGGATTAGTTAATGTAGAATTATCATTTGAAACTCCTTGTGCAGTTGTTGTATTAATTTGTTCAATTTGTTGAATTGGAATGTTTGAAGAAGTTAATTGTTGAGGTAAATTAATTGGAGAATTGATTTGTGCAGAAGTAGAACTTGATGTACTAACAACAAGAGGTGATCTAACATTTTGTTGAACTTGTTGATAAGTTTGAATTGTTTGAAGATTATTAATAGAGTGTGTCAATGATGGTATTAATGGGGTTTCAGACAATTGAGGAATAAACATTGTTGAATTTCCTCTTTCACTTTCTATTTGAATATTTTTCTCAAATGAACTTCCTCCTTTTTTTCCTCTTGAATCATCTACATATATCACATACATTTCACATAATTTCATTGCATCTTTTCTTTCTTCTTCTTTAATTCTTTTATACGCTTCTTTTTCTCCATTTAAATGTCTTAAATGCGCATCCCAAACATGACTATAACAGTTATACCTTGTCTTAGGTGGTTCTGTACATCCAGGAAAGACACACATCCAACACTTTCGTCGAGGCTTTGCTTGTGTTTCCATGTTAATTAGAATTGCCTGTTTTTTCCTATCGATGCCTATGAGATTTGTTTCATATTTTTTTTTTTATCTTCTTCTCTTGGTTCTTTCTCTTTGGCTGTCAGTTTTCTATTGATATTTTATTTTTTATTATTGTTTTGCTACCTTTTTTTTTTCTATTTTTATAATATTTGAATAATTATATTTTTATAATTTAAAATTTAAGTTTTAATGTTATTCTTTGGATTAGATTAAGTGCCTGTGAATTTTAGAAAATGACGTTTTGATGAACTCTTTCATAGCAACATTTTTATGCACTAATCATATTAAAAACAAAACACTTTTTAATAACACATTTGTTTATTGAATTTAAACCAATTTATTTTTTAAATAATTCAAAACACAAAATCAAGTTATCCAAAAAACAAAATTATTTTTATTCAAAAAGAAATTGAAAAATAATTCACAATGGAAAAGAAAAGGGATCTGTGAATGGTTGAATTTATTCAATAATGGCATTTACAACAACTGGTTTTGGTGGATTAAACAATAATACATTTGGTAAAACAACTAATACCACAAATGGATTTGGTACTGGTTTTGGTTCAACTACAAGTGGTTTTGGAAATAATAATAACACTGGTTTTGGTTTAACAACGGGTACTTTTGGAAATAGTACTAACACTGGTTTTGGTTTAACAACAGGATTTGGTAATAGTAATACTACAGGATTTGGTAATGGCAATACTACAGGATTTGGTAGCGGTTTCGGTTCAACGACGGGTGGGTTTGGAAATAATAACTCTGGACTTACTAATGGATTCGGAAACAATAATAACACTAAGGCCGGTGTTGGTTTTGGCTCAACGATGGGTGGTTTTGGTAATAATAATACATTTGGCAATACAGGATTTGGTTCTACAACAACTGGATTTGGTAATAATAATAATACAGGGTTTGGTAGTGGATTTGGTAATAATAATAATACAGGATTTGGTAGTGGATTTGGTAATACTACTAACACAGGATTTGGTTCAACAACAAGTGGTTTTGGAAATACTACTACTGGACTTGGTGGTGGATTTGGTTCTGCATTAGGTAATGGGCTTAGTGGTGGATTTGGAAATAATAACACAGGACTTGGTGGTGGATTTGGAAATAATAACACAGGACTTGGTGGTGGATTTGGTACAACAAATACTACAATAGGGTTTGGAAATAATGGTGGATTTGGAAGTGGATTAGGTACACCATTTGGTAATGGACTTGGAAATAATAATAACGGAGGATTTAATTCAATTAATATAAATGGAATGAACAACACAATTCAAACACCAAACACACCACTTTTTGTAAATGTTGATTCAAGCATGATAGAATTTTTAAAGAATAAAATACAATCGGATCGTTTAAAAAATGCATTGTCTTTAAAAGATATAAAGTATAACAACGACTTAGATAAAATGATTCAAGAAACACGGTTAAAAAGTCTTTCTTTAAAACAAGTAGAAGATAAAATAAGACCTAAAATAAATAAAGTATTCGATACAACAATTAATCAAATGCAGATATTAAGAGAAAAACAACTACTTGAAGAAAGTAGTAGACAAAATGAAAAAACTATTAAAGAAAAAATATTTAAAATCTGTTCTAGTTTTGAGGAAGAATTTAATGGTCTTAGTGATCAAATTAGTGAATTAAGTAATAAAATAACACCTTTAGTAAATAATATTACTTTACAACAAGCAAAAATAGCTCTTGATGAAAATAATAAACAAACTTATCAAATAAAAGAAAATGTTGTATTTATACAAGAAAGTTTGACTGAAACAGAACAAAAACTTGAATCTTCTTTATCTCATTTATGGAATCCTAATACTTTAAAGTGATATACATCTATTTTTGAATTAATTGAATGACAATCGTTCTTTTTTTATTCCTTTTCTGTTGTATTATTTTTTCTTTAAGAAAGATGTTGTATCTTTTGGAAGAAAAATAAGAGTTCACTCATTATTGAAATATCTTATCCCAAAAATTAAAAATGAAAAACAAAAACACAATCTGAAAATAGGGTTATTTAAAAAGAAAAGTTAAAAAAATAACTTACAGAAAAGAAAGAATCTCATTCCATATGAATGTCGAAAAAGGGAAAATCTATGTTGGAGGATTCACAAATGATTTTAGTGAAGAAGATTTGAGAGAATTATTTAGTGAGTTTGGAACAATAGAATCTATCTCTATTTTTCACAAAAGAATTACTTTTGCACATATCATTTTTACAAACAAACAAAGTTGTGCTAAAGCTATTGAAAAATATGAAATGAAAAAAGTTAAGGGAATAACTTTAAGAGTTGGAGAAATGAAAATTACACCAGAAAAAGAAAAAGTTCAAGACGAAAGGACTTTTGGTGATATTAAAATAAGTGTTGTATTAGTAAGACCAATGCATGAAGATAATATTGGGGCTGTTGGAAGGTTATGTGCCAATTATGGAATTAACAAATTGTATATTGTCAATCCATTGTGTAAAATTGGAGAAGAATCAATTAAAGTATCCCGACATGGAAACGGATATATTGAAGGTGCTGTAATATGTAATTCACTTGAAGAAGTAAGAAAAGACTGTACATTATTGGTTGGATATACTGCAAGAGAAAGTTCTGGACAAAAAAACAAAAGAATTTTAATGACAATGCAAGAAGCTGGAGACATGTTATCAACAATGAAAGGATGTCTTGGTTTAGTTTTTGGAAATGAAAGTAATGGACTTAATACTGAGGAGTGTGATGCATGTGATTTATTAAATAAAATTGATATTAGAAGTCATTATCCAGTATTAAATCTTAGCCATGCAGTTGGTATTGCATTAAATTATATGCACATGCGATTAAGAGATGGTGGAGACTTAGTTCCTGAAGGGTGCAAAGAAAATATTGCCAAAGAAAAAGGAGAGTTGCTTGAACAATGGAAAGAAATTTTACATTCTGTAATGAATGAGCAAAGAGAAATTGGTGCTGTTGAGTCAATGAAAAAATTACTCGGAAGAGTTATGTTAACTGAACGAGAAGCAGCTGCATTAGATGGTGCATTCAAGGCATTACTACATCATTTTCATGAAAAAGAAGTTCATTCTCAAGAAATAAATAATAAAAAAGAAGATTTTATAGAACAATCACAAAATTAAATTGATTTTACTATATTTATTAATTATATTTTTAGAACATAAAAAATTTATTACCATAACAAATAACAAAAAAGTAGAATTGAAGTAAAAAAAAGAAAAAAAAGGGTTTGTTTAGAGAGTTGAAAAAAAATAAAATCCATTTGAAGAAGAATGAATGTAAAATTATTGTTACAATTTTATATTGCTTCTTTTGTGGCACATACACAAACATTACTATTAGCAATGAAACATCACCGACCATTTTATTTATTTACATCATATATTGTATTTGTTTTATATTGTTGGTATTATTCATACTCACTCATTATTATCCTTCTTCCATTGTTCATTTATTTAATTTCATTTATTATAGAAACTGACGATTACCCACATACATATTATATGAAACAATCACCTTTTTCAGCTAAGGTTCTTTCTTCAACACCACAACTTAGGTCTGCTTATCAATGTCCATTAAAACTATTTTCAGGACATTTATTAACAGTATATACATCCCAAACTGATACAACATTTTCATTTTCTTATAGTAGAACTATTGTAAATTGTCAGGATGGAGGTATTTGTGGATTTGATGTTCTTGATAGTGATTTACCATCAACAGCACCAATAATAGTTTTTATTCCTGGTGCTGTTGGAGATAAAAAAAGTTTATATATTAAGAAAGCAGTAGAGCTTGCACGTAGAAATAATTTCCGTGCTATTGTTTTTATTAAAAGAGGTTTGTCTGGAATTGAAGTAACAACAGGAAAATTATATAATGCTATTTCATGTGAAGATATTTATGATGCACTTCCTGTTATTCATAAACAATTTGAACACGCACAAATTAATATTGTTGGATATTCTCTTGGAGGATCACAAGCAATTCGTTTAAGCTATAAATATTCATCTGATTTATTACAGTTTAATGTAAATTCTATTTGTGCTGTTTGTCCTGTTTGGGGAATTTCTGCTATAGAAACACCTGAATTATATTCTAAACCATTTGTTGATGAGTTTAAAGAAATTCTTTTTATTCATAAAGAAGTTTTTGAGAAAGCTACTGACAAAGATGGACATCCATTATATGATTTAAACGCTGTAAGTAATGCAAAAACAATGAAAGAATTAGAGAAAACATTAATTGCTCCAATGTTTGGGTATAAGAGTGTTGAAGCATATTATTGGGATGTAGAGCAATGGTTCCAAAATTTACCATGTACTCGTATTCCAACATACACTATTAATTCTTTTGATGACCCAGTATTAAATGATCAAGATTATTCTTATTTGAGAATTAAAGCTCTTTGTGGATTTAGTCCATTTGTTATTTCTTCTTATACCCAAAGAGGAGGTCATTGTATTTATAGTGAATCATTAGAAACAAATACAATGAGTTATGCTGATAGAAATGTTCTTGAGTTCATTAAAACTGTTTCTGATTTAAATCAATCAGGAGAACTTGCTATGATGAGAAAGGAGGCAGAAGAAAAATTTAAATGGTTCAATGAATAATTTACTTTTTTTTAACATTGAAACGAATAGTCTGAATGTGATTTTTGAAATGATTAAGTCATATTTTTCATTATTAAAAGACAATTATTTTTTAATAATTCATTATTTTTGGGTGAGAAAGAATAATAAACCCAAAATAATTAAGATAAATAGTAGTATTTATTTATTCATCGGAAATGAACGAATTGGAATATGCTTTGGTCTGATTATTTTATCTAATTTAGTTCTTCCAACAACATATTTTGGCATTGGAGAGTTTGCAATTTCAAGTATTTGTAACTTCCAGTTCCAACCTTCTCTTGGTTTTTTTAATTCATTATACATAAAGTTATTTCTAATTGGAACAATACTAGGATAAGCAGAAACACCATCTCGTTCACAATAGCTCTTGTATTTGTTACAATCAATTTGGAACATTTTAATATTATTTAACATTGAAAGTTCAGAAATTGTCTCATTTATTTCTTTATCAATTAATTGACAAAAGTAACAAGTTTCTGACATATATTCAATAACAACAAGTTTTGATGAATTTCTGTATTGATCTATCTCTTCAGGAGTGGATCGAGATTGTACTAAAACACAAATTAAACAAATGAATAAGACTTTCATTTTTATCATTTTAAGTTCTTTTTGATTTTTATTTTTTGAACTTCTTTTAAATGAAAAGAAAAAGTATTAAATTATTTATTATAAATATAAAAACTTTTAATTTAAAAAAAATGTTTTTCGGTAAAAAATGAACTAAAATATAATATAATTTAACTGTTATGAAAGAAATTTTTTTTATTAAATATGTTAATATAATAGATAATAAAGGAATTATGTAATTTAAATAAAAAGAGAAATAAGTTAATAGAAAAAGTAATTATAATAAAAAATTATCTATTCATTAGATTCTCTTGAATTAAATTTGAAAAACATTTCTTTCATTTTTTTATACGAATGATTTATAAAAAAAATAAACCAATATTTTTATTTAACTTTTTTGTAATTAAATCAATTTCTTAAACGATTTTTCTTAAACTTTAAAAGAAATAGCAGGGTTCATTATTTTAATTAATAACAAGTTAAGAGTTTATTTCTTTTATTATATTATCTTTGTTTCTTCTCTGTTATTTTATTTTGTTTAATTATTTGGAGTAATTTTAAAACATAATTTGAATTACAATTATTAAGTGTTTTCGTTAATTATCTTTTTATTATTTATTATTGATAACTGATTAAAGAAATAAAGTACAATAAATGAAAAGTTAATTCTGACAATAACTTATAAACATCAATATATAAGTGTTATAACTTTTTAAACTAGACACAAAGAGAGGAGCAATAGAGATAATAATAAAATCATGATGTGAAAAAGATATAAGAAATAAAGAAATAAAAATAAGAAATTAACTTAAAAAAATAAAAAAGAACTTAAAAAAAGAAAACCCCTGATTAAAAAAATGAAAAGAGTAATAGTTAATACAAAAGGAAATGATAAGGTTATTGGATATGACAAACGATTTGATGAGATTAAAAAAGTTCCACAAAGAGAATATAATCCAGAAAAAGATGATATTGAATTTTTACAATTTGATATTGATTATATTAATCGTATTGTTGAAAAAGAGTATCGAATAGAAGAAGATCCATTAAGTGAAGGATATAATGAACCAGTATTATATTTATATGGAACTACAAATGAAGGGGATAGTGTTTTAGCTATGGTACATGGATACAAACCATATTTTTATATTTCTGTAGAAAAAGAATATACACAACAAGAACTTGATGAACTTAAAATGAAATGTAATCAACAACTCCATTCTGAAGTAAAAGCAACAGGAGATTTTGAACAATATATTTTACTTATGGAAAATGTTAAAGGCTATCATTCTCTTATGAATTATAATTTCGAAAAAGAAACTTTCTTTGTTAAAATAACTTTAAGACTTCCAAAATATGTTCCAGTTTTAAGACATATTCTTCAAGAAACACAACGTATTAATAATAGACATTATCAGACTTATGAAGCAGATCTGTTGTTTGTTTTAAGATTTATGGTAGATGCTGGTTTAGTTGGATGTAGTTGGGTAAAAGTTCCAGCAAAAAGATATATTTTAGTAAAAGATGAAGCAAATAAAATTTCAAGATGTCAACATGAAATTCATTTAGATGTAAAAGATTTATTGAATTTAGGATGTGATAATGAATATACTAAAACTGCTCCATTAAGAATTCTTTCTTTTGATATTGAATGTGCAGGAAGAAAAGGTTCTTTTCCAGTTCCTGAACTTGATCCAGTTATTCAAATTGCTAATTATGTAGTTGAATTTGGTAAACCAGATATTATTACAAAGAATGTATTTGTATTAAAAGGTTGTTCACCAATTCCTGGAGCTATTATTTATGATTATGATACAGAAGAAGAATTATTAAAGGGTTGGTCTGATTTTATTAATGCAATAGACGTTGATGTATTTACTGGGTATAATATTATGAACTTTGATTTTAAATATCTATTAGAACGAGCAAAAGTATTAAAAGTTAAAGATTTCTCATCGTTTTCAAAATTAAAAAGTTCTCATGTAAGTGTTAGACAGTCTACATTCCAATCAAAAGCTGTAGGTGTTAGAGAATCAAATGAATTAATAAATCTAGAAGGAAGAATTCCATTTGATATGTTCCAAGTTATTCAACATGATTATAAATTAAGGTCTTATACTTTAAATTTTGTATCAAGTAATTTCCTTGGTGATCAAAAAGAAGAAGTACATTATGCAGATATCACTACATTACATGAAGGAAGTATGGATGATCGTAATAGAATTGCTGTTTATTGTTTAAAAGATACTTATTTACCAATTAAATTATTAGAAAAATTAATGTCATTAGTAAATGGATTTGAAATGTGTAGAGTTACTGGTATTCCATTGTCATACCTTCTTCCTCGAGGACAACAAGTTAAAGTTATAACACAATTGTACCGTCATGCTAATGCAAAGAAGTTATTTATTCCTTTCTTCCAAAGAACTAAAACGAATGGAGACAAATATGTTGGGGCTACTGTCATTAGTCCAATTAAAGGATTTTATAAAGTACCAATTTCAACACTAGATTTTTCTTCACTATATCCTTCTATTATGATATCCCATAATTTATGTTATTCCACGTTAATCGATGGAATTAAAACTAGGAAAGATGTCCCATCAATAGAATTCCTTAAAACATCTGAGAGTGAAGAGGACAGAAAAATGTATGATCAGATTATGAAAAAATTAAAAGAAAAACAACTCAATGTAGAAGATGTAGAATTATCACCAAATGGTGATCTTTTTGTTAAGTCAAGTAAGAGAAAAGGAATTTTACCAGAAATTCTTGAAAATTTACTTGCAGCAAGAAAACAAGCTAAAAAAGATATGGCAGCTGCTACAGACCCTTTTAAAATTACTGTGTTAAATGGAAGACAATTAGCACTTAAAGTTAGTGCAAATTCTGTTTATGGATTTACTGGTGCACAAATTGGAAAACTCCCGTGTATGCAAATTGCATCAAGCGTAACTTCCTATGGAAGAACAATGATTGAATTAACAAAAACTACTGTAGAGGAAAAGTACAGTAAGAAAAATGGATTTCCATGGGATGCACAAGTTGTATATGGTGATACAGATTCAGTTATGGTAAAATTTGGAACACCTGATTTAGCTGAAGCTATTAGATTAGGAAAAGAAGCTGCAGTCTTTGTAACAACAAAATTTCCAAGACCAATCAATCTTGAATTTGAAAAAGTTTTCTTCCCATATTTATTAATTAGTAAAAAAAGATATGCAGGACTATATTTTAATCGAGTAGATAAATGGGATCATGTAGATACTAAAGGAATTGAAACTGTACGAAGAGATAATTGTTTATTAGTGAAATATGTCATTGAAAATGTATTAAATAAAATTTTATTAGATTCTGATGTTGAAGGAGCAATTAACTTTGTAAAAAATATGATTTCTGATTTACTACAAAATAAGTTAGATTTATCTATGTTAATTATATCAAAAACATTAAGCAAAGAAGATTATGCTGGGAAACAAGCTCATGTAGAATTAGTTAAAAGAATTAGAGAAAGAGATAAAACAGCTACAATTAATACTGGAGATAGAATTCCATATGTTATTATTAAATCAACAAAAGATGCAAAAGCTTATGAAAAAGCTGAAGATCCATTATATGTATTAGAAAATAATATTCCAATTGATTTTGATTATTATATTGAGAATCAATTGAAAAAACCATTAACTCGTATTTTCAAACCTATTTTAGGAGAAAAAGTTAGTGAAATTTTTGAAGGAAAACATACAAGGTTCGTTGTAAATATCACTCCAACAGCAAACACTGGAATTATGAAATTTGCAAAGGTTACAAAAAGATGTGCTGAGTGTCATGCTGTATTAAAAAAAGACGAAGGTACTATTTGCCGAAATTGTCATGAAAAGACTGGAGAAATTTATGCAAAAAAGTTGGTTGATGTACAAAAATCAGAGAATGCATATCATCGTATTATGACTCAATGTCAAGAGTGTATGCAATCTCATCACAGAGAAATTATTTGTGCAAACAAAGACTGCCCAATATTCTATATGAGAGTTAAAGTACAACATAGTATTAATCAACAAAGAGAAATGATTGAGAACTTTGAATGGTAAATTTTAATTAATTTAATAAAACTAAATTTAATTCTTGGTTGAATCATTTTGTAAACGTTCTCTAGAACGAAGAGTAGAAGAAGAGAATTTAGAACCATCAGTAGTGAGAATAAGATTAATTGTGATTGAATGTAAAGGAAGATATCCATTGAGAATTCGTTGATTGTTGATGATAGGAAGTGATTTTTGTGTTTCATCACTAACAATTAAACATTCAAGAGTAGGATCAGTAGTTGATGTTCCTTCAGGTTGATTAATTTGTGATATTGTGTATGAAGGAATAGGATAATATTTGTTGATTGTATGAAGTAAATGAATGATTTGATTTTTACGTGTGGTGAATGAATGAATCAGATCATAATTTTGTTTTGAATGAAGTAATGAATCACCAGTGATTGCAATAGCAAGATGTGATGATGAAGTGAACACAGCAGTTTGGATGAGAGTGTAATGACCACAATGAAGACGATCAAATGTTCCACCTACACCAACATTATTATAACGAGGAAGTAAATTAACACGAGGAATAAGTAAAACAAATAACAAAGAATATGATTCATCAATTGAAATTAATATTTGATATATTAATTGAAGCCATCGATTATATTCTATTTGCTATTGTTTTAATTTTTTATCTTTATTTAATTATTTACACAAACAGGAATAACCGTAGAAGAAGAATTCAAATAAAAAAGAAGTGGATTATTAATAGGATGTGAATTAATGAATAATCCTATTTCTTCTTGTGTTGTTTCTTCTATTTCTATTTCCATTCCTTTTTTTCTTTTCTTTTTCTTTTTTTCTTTTCTTTTTTTCTTTTTCTTTTTTCGATTCGAAGGTAGCACGTCAGAGACACCACACAGAACCCTAAAATATTTCCATCCTTCGATTCCTCCCAGTCATGGACTGGTTATGGCGTTGCGTTTGGTTAGAAAAACATCTTACCCGGTACTGCAAGAATAGCAGTGTTTATTATGTACAATTACAGAATATCATTGACAATAAACGAATGGGTATTTATAAAGATGTTATTATTACTTGTTAGAATACAAGTATATTTGATAATATAAGAAAGATTAACAAAAGAAAAGGGTCAAGTGGTTGAGGCTAAAAGAATATTAGCCTAAAGCAATACAGTAGCAATTATATATTCTCCTTAAAATAAGAAAATAAAGAAGAAGAAATTTAAACGCATCGAAATTAAAAAGAAATTAAATAATGAATATCTAAGTAAGGGATGTTTAAAATACTCTATTCCACATCAAAAATGAGAAAAGAAAATTCTCACCGTTCAACAACTAAAAGCAAAGAACAAGCTAATAGTTGAAGAACAAATACTTTTAAGCGAAGGGACGGGATTAGTCTCCCCTGAGCAAGGAACAATAGACACAAGTTCTATTAATACTTAATTAACTACTTTTTATTTTACTTTTTCTTTTTTTCTTTTTTCTTTTTTTTTCATCGAATTATTTCTTTTTCTTTTTTCTTTTTTTTTTCATCGAATTATTTCAATTCATCTTCATCAACAAATTCAATTTAAGAAGTGTAGTCAAAAAATAATATACAACAAATAAAATATCAAAGGAATAAAGACAAAGAATGAAAAAATGGTAAACACCAAAAATATAACAGAAATTATACAAAATAAAATATAATAATGTTATTGCCTTTTATCTTAATTTATAAAATATTGAAAATCAAGTAAATGAAAAATAGAATTGCCAATAGGCAAGTGTTATTAACTAGCCAAAATAAATCTTTGAAAATAGCACTACAACAGATAGTACGGATATCTATTAATATAAGAACATTCTCTAAATATTCAAAAATTCTTTATTACAACTATTAATATAATTAAAACAATATTTGACTCTGTAGCTCTAAGAAATTATATTGGTTTGTTCGTTTTAGAGTATTTCAAATTAAATAAACTATAAAAATTGACTTAGTACATTGTTTGTAATTTCACTGCATAACTAATTCTTTAATACTAAAGGGTATTAAAAAAGTGTGGTTATTGTTATTGTCATTAAAAGAAGATTAAAACGTATTTCTTTAATGAAAAATAAAATAAATAAACTATACAACCTAAATCCCTAAAAGAGTCGTTATTTGTTCATATTAAATTTAATTTAAGAACCATTGAATCAATTAAATGAGTTTAAACACTTTTCACTGGAACTAACAGAGTTTCCTTTAGACAATTATTTTGTGAAAAAAAAACAATGATAAAAGAATGAGAGTGAACAGAAATTAAATAGAATGAAAAAATCAAAAAAAGGTATTGTGTCAATGTTTAAATGAAAACAATAAAATACAAAAATAAAGAAATATTATAGAAGAAGTGATGTCTTTTCTTTTTTCAGTCAAAAAACAAAAATAAAATCTAAAAAATCAAAAACACAAAAGAAACGTAAGTCAATGCAAACAACTCAAAAAATTTTTGAGACGATGTATATAAATGATACAAGCGCTAAAGGGATTAAAAGACTTGCACTTGAAGGGAAAATGACAAGATATAATTTAAGAACAATTGCATGGAAGATTTGGCTTGGGGTATTACCATTGCCAGTCAATTCAGTTTGGACAAGTAAAGTGAATAATGAAAGAAAAAGGTATCATGAGTTAGTAAAGAAATATAACAATGAGGCATATGTAATTGATCCATTATTAAGTGGGTCATCAGATAATGAAAGAGATGAGTTAAAGAAAAAAATCAAGAAAGACATTGACAGACTATATAATTCAATTGAGTTTTATTGTGATACTGAAATAAGAACAAAAATTAGTAATGTATTATATATATTTGCACGTGAGCATAATGACTTAGGATATCAACAGGGATTTCATGAAATAGTGGGAATTTTTATTAGAGAACTTGTTTCAGATTGTGAGCTAATTCAAAGTAACACAATAGAAAGAGGAATATTACATACAGTAATTTGTTTAAATGAAATAGAAGCAGATGCATTTATTCTTTTTGAAAAATTAATGACTATTCTCGGAGTATTTTATGAACAAAAAAGAATAAAAGATTCATCTACAACATCATTAATTCATTTTAAATGTGAGAAATTATTTCAGTTAATAGCAAAATATGATCCAAAATATTTTGCTACGTTAATTAGACATAATATTGTTCCTGCAGTATTTGGACTTCGTTGGATTAGAATGTTATATGCAAGAGAATTTCATATAGATGATGTAGTTATTTTATGGGATGCAATATTTGCTTTTGGACATCAATTAAAATTAGTTGATTCCTTGTTTATAGTAATGATGTTATATGTAAGGAATGATATTGTTGAAAGAGATGATGAAAGTTATTCTTTGAGAAGATTAATGAAATATCCACCAGTAGAAGATATAAAACTTTTAATTGAATTAGCTGTTGCTTTAGCTGAACATCGAGTTTCTATAAATGGAACCTCAATTTGTATGAGGGTTGATCAAAATTCATTGTTGGTTGATCAACCAATTGATTGGTTATCGAAGAAAAAATGTTCAAGAGATTCTGATAAAATTGAAGAATCTTTATTACAAAAACTTGGGACTATTCAAAGAAAACTTGTTCTTGTTGATAGAGAAGAAAAAATAAATACACAAGAATTACTAAATATTGCTTCTGATTTATCTAAAATAATTGATACTATAAAATAATTATTCAAACTTTGTTTTTTTATTTCTTTATTTAATTTATAGTTTTATTTTTATCATAGATACTACTCTCTAGTCTCTTATAAACTAATTAATTAAAATAATTTTTCAACTAATGACCTACTTTTATTTAATTCTAATAATTGTTTGTATTGTGTCAAGTAATAACTTTACTTGTAATATAAATACAAAAATTTTAAAAGAATCGAATTGTGTATTTTACAAAAAAGAAACAGACCAATTTATACTTTCTTCACAATCTACTATTATTAATTTAAACCATGACTCTTATTCATTTTCATTTAATAAGCGATTATCTAATCAAAAATTAAATATTAAATTAACTGGAAAAGGAGATGTATTGTTTAATTTGTATAATTTAAATAATACAAATATCTATTTTAATTCTAACGAAAATCAAATAATAACTCTATTATACTTTAGTGGTTTAATTCATTTATTTTCAGAAAGGCCAATAAAAGTAGTTATTGTTTATCAAGATAAGTTGTCTGATTTAAAAATTAATCATCCTGTTATAATTTCCTCTTTGTTATCTTTCGAAGAAGTTAATTCAATGAAATTTAAAAAAGAACAGTATAATACTGAACCTTCATTCTCAATCAAACAACAAATAGAAAATAAACTCACAAAAATAAAACTAATATTTATTGAAATGAAACAAAATATTCTTTATTGGAATGAACGACGCAAGGCTGAAGAAGATAAAATATTTCAGAGTAAAGAACTAGAATTTATAAAACAAAGGATTAAATCAAAAATTAACTTTTTAACTTCTTTTATTAATTCTGTAACAATTGAACAAATAAAAGTTAAAACATTATGTCAAAGTTGTATTTTTTGGTTTCGGTTAAAGACATCTCTTACAGATGCGTTAGGAATTACAACTGCAACTAATTTTTGTGATTATGACTATATTCCAAAAACTTTGTGTAAAGTTACTGTTCAAACAACACATACACTAACTAGTAAATATCTTTATGATGAAAAAAAAGAAGAAGAAATGTATTGTTCTTCATATTGTCTGATGTAAGAGAAATAAGAATTAAAAACATTTTTAAATTAAATCATTCAATTTTATTTAAAAAAAAATAACACATCAAAATAACAAATTTATTAAAAAAAATTTAATTTATTTAGACAAACACTGGAAAAGTGGATGGTTCATTGCTTCTTTTGCACTAAGACGTTTTTGATGGTCATAAACCAATAACTTAGAAAGTAAATCATAGACATAAGGTGTAATAAGATGTTGGTTCTTTTCATTTCTAAAAGTGTCCCAATCAACTGTAGGGAATCCAATTAATAATTGCATTAACTTATCTTCAATTTTTAATTGATATTTTTGAACATATTTTTGGAATCCATCAGTTCCTAATACTTGGACAATTTTAACTAATTGATCTTTATTATTTGAGCCTTTAAATAATGGCTCTTTAACAAAAAACATTGTAGCGACCATACAACCAAAACTCCACATATCTAATGAATAATCATAATCTTGAAGATCAGTTAATAACTCTGGTCCTTTATAATATCTTGAAGCAACTCGAACATTATACTCAGTTCCTGGATGATAAAATTCTGCAAGTCCCCAGTCAATTAATTTAAGAATTTTTTTCTTAGGATCAATCATGACATTATGTGGTTTAACATCACGATGCATTATTCCCATTGAATGGGTATAATCTAATGCTTTTAACAATTCATTTAAATAATAACAGATTTCAATATGATTTAATGTTGGATATAACGTTTTAAAATCAACATTTTCTACATATTCCATAACTAGTGCAGGTGTTTGTGTTGATGGTTCCATTACAACATCATACAATTGAATAATATTTGGTCCATCTCGAAGGTCTTGTAATATCAAAATTTCTCTATTAAATTTTTTTGCTTTCACTGGTTTTAATACTTTAATAGAACATGGAACATTTTGTTCAACTACAACTCCTTCAAAAACATCACTGTATTTCCCTCTTCCAATTTTACGTACAATTTGATAAGGGTCTTGACTTCCCCACTCAACAGTAACATTTTCGTAGTCATAAAATATCTTTTCTTTATGTTCTAATACATCACAATAATATCGAGAAAAACTTTTGGGTCGTTCACTCATATGAATTTTTAGATGATCCTTTTTTTCTTTTTTCAGGGTTCTTTTTTTTTGTTTTTTCTCTTTCTTCTTTCATACAATTAAATTGTTATTATAAACAAAATGTTTTTCTTTTTCTTGATTCCTCAAAGAGAACTGAATTTTAAACAAATCTTGAAAACATCAAAAAGTGTCACTGTTTTTGAAGTTTATTGGAAAAACCCACAAAAATACATTAGAAATGAATAATTAAAAAAAATCTAAAAAATCCTAAAAATAAATGAAGAGAGATAAATTTGGTGTATTTTCAGATTGGCTCATAAAAGAAATAATTCTAAAAATATCATGAACTGAAAAAGGAAGAATAAATACTAAAAGAGATAATGAATAAACTATTAAAAATAAATTATAAAAAAATCTGAAAAAAAAACCAATAAAGAAGTAAAAAATAGTGAAGAAAAAAAAAAAAAAAAGAACGAACAACGTGTCAACCCTGAACTTTTTAAGGAGGAACTGATAATAAACAAATAGAAATAAAAATGGCTGAATCACGTGAAGATTGTGTCTTCCTTTCTAAACTTGCTGAACAAAGTGAAAGATATGATGAAATGGTTCAATACATGAAACAAGTTGCTGCTCTTAATACTGAATTATCAGTTGAAGAAAGAAATCTTCTTTCAGTTGCTTATAAGAATGTTATTGGATCAAGAAGAGCTTCATGGAGAATTATTACTTCTCTCGAACAAAAAGAACAAGCTAAAGGAAATGATAAACACGTTGAAATCATTAAGGGATATAGAGCTAAAATTGAAGATGAACTTGCTAAATATTGTGATGATGTTCTTAAAGTAATTAAAGAAAACCTTCTTCCAAATGCTTCTACTTCTGAAAGCAAAGTCTTTTATAAGAAGATGGAAGGTGATTATTATAGATATTATGCTGAATTTACTGTAGATGAAAAGAGACAAGAAGTTGCTGACAAATCTCTTGCTGCTTATACTGAAGCTACAGAAATTTCTAATGCTGATCTTGCTCCAACTCATCCAATTAGACTTGGTCTTGCTCTTAATTTCTCTGTTTTCTATTATGAAATTATGAATGATGCTGACAAAGCCTGCCAACTTGCTAAACAAGCATTTGATGATTCTATTGCTAAACTTGATGAAGTACCAGAATCATCTTATAAGGATTCTACTCTTATTATGCAACTCTTAAGAGATAACTTAACTCTTTGGACTTCAGACACTGCTGATGAAGAATAATTTATTTTTCTGGTTCATATTTTTTGTTTTCATGTTATTGTCTCTTCTTATCAAAAGTAATTACTTTTTAATTTTAAAAGAAAAAGAGTAGTTTGTAATTTTTTTACAAGTAAAAAAGTTAATAAATTTGTATTCATTTAGGTTGTCTTACTTAAAATCTTCGTATCGCATATGACGTTTATATCTCACCAATAACTTCTGGCTTTGTAACAATATTCCCTTTATTATAAACAGATACTAAATAAAATGAAAATCAAATTAATGTATTTGGTTTTGGAATGTCACATTCACTCAATAATTTTTTATAACTAACAAGATGGAATTTGTTATGTTATAAGAATAATAGAAATATTAAAACATAACACGACACAAAAATAAATCAAATTTTTTTTTGTAAGAATCAATAAAGTATTATTTTAAAATAATTATAATTAAAATTAGATTATAAAAATAATTTCTCAATAATTATATTTTAATCTATTACAACATAGTAAATTTAAAGAATCTATAATTATATTAACTCTTCTTTATTCCATCTTTAATGGTGAATACATTTTGTTCAATTAAAATGTAATAACAATACACCAGTACTATTTTGTAATATAAATTAGGAGTAGGTGTATAAAATAAATATGAATATTTTTATTGAATTATTTAATTATTTAATAAATCATTCATTACATATATTATTATATTACAAAGTACCTCTGTGATTAATAACATTTTAATTTAAAGCAACAAATTTATAATTACTTCCATTCTATTTATTTTACAAATAACCTTTTACATTTCTTTATTTTCTAAAAACATCAAACAAAAAATAAGATTTAAATTATTATCAATTAATCGATAGACAATCTATTTTAAATAAATCGGATCATAATGATAATTCGTCGCGTTCTTCTCCATCAAAATATTCTAATAATAATGTACTTGCCCTATCTACTAGATCTTCATTATCAGAACTTTCTGTTATTTCTTGTAATCGTTTATCAAAACCAATTTCTCTAAATTGGTCAATAAATTGATAAAGTTGTGATTCATTATGAATAAGAATATCAGCAGCTGAAATTGATTGTGCTACAAGTTCACTATCAGTCCATTTGATTTTACTAAAAATGGATATAATAAAATCATTTTGTATTAAATGATCTAATAATGGTATATAATGCTGTTGAACTGAATAAAAAATAAACAAAAAACACTCTTTTCTAACTAAAGCTTCTTCTGGTACATTTGAATTTATAATAATTTGAATAGCAAGATAATAAGTACCACTATCGATGAACTGATCAATGTATTTGTCATTAGTTAATGCTAAATTACTAAAAGTGAACATAATAATTCGATGGTACCAAGAAAGAGGAATTTCTTTTAATAAATCTATAAAATAAGGAATAATGATTGTTATATCAAATAACCGAATAAATTCAACGTCATTTGAAGAAGAAACCCATTGAATAAATTTAAATGAAGACTGTTTAATTGATTGATTATTTGAAGAAGCTAAATAAAAACATCGAATAAAAATTGAAGAGTTAAACATTTTAATCAATCCTGTTTTATTTCTTCCAATATAAAATACACAACGAATACAATGAACGATAATAGAATCATTATTACTTGATAGCCCATAAGCAATATATTGAACAAAATTATTAAGTAATTCAGGTGTAATACAATCTGGAGTACGTAATAAAGAAGATAATGACCAATATGCATGAACATTATTAATATCATTTGTAATTACTCTATTTAACAATGTAAAAATTCCATTTGCTGAAGCTATTTCTTTGCATTCATTACTATCAATAATATAATTTGTAGCCCCCCACAAACATTGAACAGAATTTTCAATTCTTTGAGTTGTTAACCCACAATGTAATAATACTTTTATTACTCCTAAATGAACAATAAGATCTGATGTTTCAGAATCTAATGAAACTGCTAAGTTTGTGAAAAACCATGCTATTTGATATTTTATATCATCACTTTGTTCTTCAGTCATACATTTTAACAAAATAGAAAATGTATTACACTCAATCATTTCTTGGATTGGAATATATTGCTTTGAACTAACACACTTCCTTAGATTAATAACAGTTTTTATTTTATCTGATATTAGTGTTTGAGGATTAGTTAATCGTGTTTTGCATTCATGAAGATATTCAAAATAGTTTGAAGGTTCAATAAATGTCTCTTCCGTGTCTTCTTGTCTTCTTTGTTGAAGAAAGTGGTCCCTCCTTTTTGTTCTGAGTTGGTTTAAATTCTTTTGTCGTCTTTTTAGTTCATCTTCACTCCTGCAAATACCACGAATATTCATTGAACTTATTTATAGTTTTTTTACTATTTTTTTGCTTTATATTACACAATAATATTATTTTAAAAAATGGTTTAGTTAAGTTAAATTAATTTCTTTTATAGATATTTAAAGTCAAAACAAAAATCATTCATTGTGAAAGGACAGAAAAAAACCTCATCATATTTATTGGAGAATTAAGCAAGAACTTGAAATTATAAGATAGAATAAATCAAATGGCTAATAAATTAGAACCTCGTTTAGCTCTTCACCCTTCAGTGGTAAATTGTTTGACACCATCCCAAAGAACAGAATTACTAGAACAGTACTGTAGTAATCTTAACCAGTTATATACTGTATTTCCAAAACTTCAAAAGGCTGATATTGAACACACTTATCAACTCTGTCAAAGAAATTTAGAGAATACTATTACTGAATTAATAAAACTACAAAAAGAAAAAGAAGAGGAAAACAATCAGCAACAAGAGCACAAAGAAGTAGAACATAAAGAAACTCCTAATAAAGCAGACAGTAACAATACTCATGACGTAGGTGATGGTAACACAATAGAACATCAACTAGCAAAAAATAAATTAATGTCACTATCACCTCAACCTCGAAAAGAAGAAGAAAGTATTACTAAAACTGAAAAGGAAGAAGAAAATATTAATAAAACTGAAAAGAAAGAAGATGATTTAGAAAAAACAATTACACAAAGTAATATGGAAGAACAAGAAGTTGTTTTAACTAGTTCACAAGAAAACAAGTTAAATAACGAAAAGGATGAAACAAGAAAATCAGAAACAGAAAGTAGTAATAAAACAGAAAGTAGTAATAAAACAGAAACAGAAAATAATAATGAAACAGAAACAGAAAATAATAATGAAACAGAACAAAAGGAAGTCAAAGAATTGATCAGAAAAGAATTAAAATATGAAATTCAAATAAATATCAATGGAAATAATTGTATTATTACTGCAAATTTCGATAGAAGTGAACGATTCAAAAATAATTTCTTACAAGTTGTTGATAGATACAATGAGAATTTAGTTAAAGACAAAAGGGAAATAGGAAAAAGTATTTCTTTTGTATGGAAATTAAATCTTGAATATGGAGAGTATGACCTACAATATTTTGATTCAGATCAATTAGCCTCAATTACGTTGAACCAAATTGATGTAAATCCAGTTAAAATGATTGTTTCTAAACAAAATGAAGAACTTATTGTTTATTTATCACAAGGACCAATTGATCAAGTTAGTTGGGTTGGATTATATACTGTTGATGGTCCTCTTGGAAGAAAATACATACACTACAAAGACACTAAAGGAATGAATGATAATACAATTCATATTCCTTTAGAACCAAATGATAAAGGTCTTTTTGTTTGTAGAGCATTTTCTAATAATAATTCTGCTGGTAGATTTCTCTCTCCTCAATACTTCACTCTTGGAGACTCAAACCAAATTGAAGTGGAGTAAAAAGTAAATTTAATAAATCTTTATCTCTTTCACTAGTTTTTCACAACTCAATAAAATATAATATTAAAGGGAAGAAATGGTTTGTTTAAGTTGTTGAATTGCAACAGACATTGAACTTATCAAATCAGCATTCTTTGGACTAGTAACTTCAATTTCTTTAATTAACTCATCAATTTTACGTTCAAGGATACTTATTTGAATATCTTTTGAGTTACTTGTATTTGTTGAAGTAGATAACTTGAGAGGAGTCTTTCTAACATCTTTTACTGTATCAGAAACAATATTTTCTCCTTTTCTTTGGTAAGAATCAATTCCTTCTTTCTTTTTTCCTCTTCCTATTTGTTGCTCTTTTTGTTTTTCAATTGCCATCATTAATGCAATTTCTTCTTCATCGTCATCATCTTCATCACTTTCACTTGTATATTCTTTGAGCTGGTGAATAGGCTCCTTCTTTTCTTCTGGAATTTTCTCATTTAAAGTAATTTTGTTTTCCTCTGGAATAACCTCATTGTCTTGTCCTTTTATAAGATACACTAACAAGTTATTACCGTCTTCAACATAATACTTATCATCACAAAGTACACAAATACATTTCTTTCCTCCTCTTTCTCTCATTAAAGGAACAGTTGGATGTTGTACACAACAACTACCTAACATAGTCCATCCTTGTAACAAATATTTACCTAATTTTTCGCTGACCATATCCATTTTCAATTCTTCTTTTGTCTTTCCTTCCATTTGACCTAATGCTGATTTCTTAGATTTTCTTTTAGTGACCTTTCTATACAATTTTGTTTATTATTCAAAGAGTGGTTCCACGTAATTATAGTTAAAAATAAATTACCAAATTTCTGTATATTCAAAATTAATATAAAATAATAAAAAATATTCTTCATTTACTGAACTTACTCTGATTTTGTTTCTACAACTAAAAAAGAAGTTAATTAAACTTATTTAAAACAACAGCTTTGTTATTTCAATGTAGCTCTTAAATCATTTTTATTCAATTACTTTCTTGTTTGAACAATGAATTGAGTATCTTAAATCCTCTCATTTTTCTTTAGTTATGTTCTCTTATTTTAATTATTCAAGTATTTATGAGTATTCCTTAATTTAGTTGACTTATTTATGAATACTATTCATTGGCTTTGGGTATAATGTGCAATATCAATAATTAGAATTTCTGTTAATGATTTCAATTATAATAAAATTCATATTATTTTAACATAACTAAAAAGTACTTTATCTTTCAAACAGAATCTACTCTAACTGTCAAATCAAAATAAATCCATTAGAAGATTTATACCATTACTTAATTCATAGGTTTATTAGAATAAAATAAAGATGAATTGTTTTGTTAAAGCAACAAAAAAAGATTAATAAAAAAGAGTGACAATATAAATTCACAAACTTATTTAGAAGATAATATTAAGATAAAAAGTACCAAAAGATTTAATTTAACAAATTAAAATTACTAAAATGGTAAAGAGTACTGAATATCAAAAGCATAACTAGACATACACAAAAAGAATAATACAGTACTGTGTTTTTGATGACCTTTTTAATAACTGATTAACTCATAAAAAATAATGTAATTGAAGTAATAAAATATGAAATTAGTAAATAATTACACAAAGAGACAGTCTTATACCAAATAAAATATTGGACTAAACTCGTTATAAAAGATAAAATAAAATTATACAATTACCCAATACTCAACATTGTAAGTATAAATAATACTTAAAGAAATAAACTTATTCAGTTATTATTGTTTTGAAGAATAAATAAAAACTTTATCATTATTAAATAACCAAGTAAATGACCAAATATAAATAAAGTACAATAAAAATAACAGGTAACAAAAAAAGCAAATAAGAGAAAAATGAAGAGAAAGAATGATATAAAAGAAAAAAGTGAAAATAAGAAGTAGAAGAAGATGAAAAGAATAAAAGTAGAAAGTTGAGATTATAAAATGAAAGAAGATAAAAAAGAATAATTCAAAATGAGATAATAAATGATGAAAAGAGTGATGATATAATGGATGTATTTTTTATTATAGAAATTAGAAATATGAAATAAAAAAGTGTTTAATTTATTGATGCAAATTATTTAACATTATTTTATTTATGAAATTATTTTATTCATTTTTATTTTTATAATTTTTATTTATATATATTATTTATTCTCTTTTTTTCTTTTTAGTATATTGATTATTTTAATTTATTATTTATTATTCTTTTATTTATTTTTCTCTATTCATTTGTTTGTTCATTTTTATTATATTTATGAAATATTTCATTATTATAAAATAATTTTATTATTTAATTATTTAAATGATTTAAATTAAAATGAATTTATTTTATATTTTATTGTTTTCTTTTATCATTATTTTATATTTTAATAATTTCTTTAATATCATCATTTTATATTATTATTATCTTTATTCTTTCATATTTTTATTATTTATTATTATTATTGTATTTTCATTTCTTATTTTAATTTATTATTAATATTATTTATATTTCTTTTCTTTCTTATTATTCTTCTTTATTCTTATTATTCTTCTTTATTTCTTATTTTTCTATTTTATTTATTTTCATTTGATTCATATTTTCATTTCTTGTTTTGATTGTTTTGATTTGATTTAATTTTAATTTTTATTATTATTATATTTTTGATTATTCTTATTTATTTATCATTTATTTATTATTTGTTTTTATTATTATCATTTGATTTATATTTATTATTTATTTCTTTTATTATCTTTCTTTTCTTTATTCTTTATTCTTTATATTATATTCTTATTTCTTATTATTTATTTTTGATTTTAAATGATTGTTTCAATATTCATCATTTTATTTATATCTATTATATTAATCTTATATCATTAAATTCTATTAATAAATATTAAATAATCAATATGATATAACAAAATAATTTAATTAATATATCATTATAAAATGAAATAATTAATAAATGATTTCATAATGAATATTAAATTCATAAAATATTGAATAATATAATACAAAATGATAAATAAAAATAAAAATGATAATAATAATAAATAATAATACAAAATATAAATAATAATAAATATAAAAATGATATAATACAAATATATTAATCAAATTAATATATAAATAAAAATAAATAATAATAATAAACAAATAATAAAATTGAATATATTTTTTATTAAACAATCGAATAAATAAAATAAATAAAAAATATAAATAATAACAGAATAAGAATAAAAGAAATATATATAATAAATAAAAATAATAAAAAATAGATAGAAAAAGAAATAAAAAAATAAAATATAATAAACA